CTAGTTACTCTTCTGGATGTTGTTCGAACGTTCACCGCAAAGCGCGCCATTTCTGTACGGACCGCCACAAGAGAAATCCTTGGGCCGCCGTGCAATGGGATTTCTGATATAAGACCGGCAGTAAAGAAACCCTTTTGTGCAAACCCTCCACAAGGAATTATTTTCGAAGACCGCCACAGAAGGATTTTTTGTTGCAAGGCCGCCGCATCAGGAATCTTTTGCAGGGCGTCCACACATGAAATCTTTCTATAAGGCCGCCACAAAAACATGATCTGGCAAGACCGCCAAGCCACTTGGGGCAGCCAGACCAGAAAACAATGAAAAACGATGGAGCAAAACATGAAATCAAAGAAAGCAACAACGAACAAGCAATCAAACACGTCTTTCGTATGTGTTCCCAGTGTGTTCTCAGGCGGTAGATGGTGTTATCCATACCTTATTGTTTCATGTGTGATAGTTGCAACGCATTGTTTTATTGTGTGTTTCATAGTTGTCCGTTGGTTCCCATTGTTCCTTTTAGTTGAATGTTCGTGTGTGCTCGCTAGTGTTAAAAAGTTGTTTGCTGTGGTTTCGATTGCTTTCGTTGGTTGTCACATGTGTTTGATGTTTTGTCTTCTGTCCTAGTTGGTTGCTGATGCTTGCTTATTGTGTTTTCGTGATTTGTCATGGTTCGTTTTCGCTAGTTATTCATGGCTTTCCTTGTTGTGCAAGGTGTTCCTGGTCTCCATTCCAACCCATGCCCCCCAAGGGGAATTGCACCGACCTCCCAGGAAGCCACAGCCGGAGGCTGGGCGCGGAAAACAAGCAAAACCATGGAAGCCTACGAAAACAGCTTAAGCCTGGTCCGCGTGGGACCCACCTCCGCTGGGCCTCCCAGGAGCCCACGAAAGTGGCGACAGTTGCGCAGATCGCAGCCCCCCAGGGCACTGCGAGGTCTCGAGGTGGTCCGCGTGGGACCCACCTCCGCTGGGCCTCCCAGGAGCCCACGAAAGTGGCGACAGTTGCGCAGATCGCAGCCCCCCAGGGCGCCGCGAGGTCTCGAGATGGCCCGCGTGGGACCCACCTCCGCTGGGCCTCCCAGGAGCCCACGAAAGTTGCGACAGTTGCGCAGATCGCAGCCCCCCAGGGCGCCGCGAGGTCTCGAGGTGGTCCGCGTGGGACCCACCTCCGCTGGGCCTCCCAGGAGCCCACGAAAGTGGCGACAGATGCGCAGATCGCAGCCCCCCAGGGCACCGCGAGGTCTCGAGGTGGTCCGGTGGGACCCACCCCGCTGGGCCTCCCAGAGCCCACGAAAGTGGCGACAGTTGCGCAGATCGCAGCCACCAGGGCGCCGCGAGGTCTCGAGGTGGTCCGCGTGGGACCCACCTCCGCTGGGCCTCCCAGGAGTCCACGAAAGTGGCGACAGTTGGGCAGATCGCAGCCACCAGGGCACCGCGAGGTCTCGAGGTGGTCCGCGTGGGACGTACTTTCGCTGGGCCTCCCAGGAGCTTACGAAAGTGGCGACAGTTGCGCAGATCGCAGCCCCCAGGGCACCGCGAGGTCTCGAGGTGGTCCGCTTGGGACCCACCTCCGCTGGGCCTCCCAGGAGCCCACGAAAGTGGCGACAGTTGCGCAGATCGCAGCCCCCCAGGGCACCGCGAGGTCTCGAGGTGGTCCGCGTGGGACCCACCTCCGCTGGGCCTCCCAGGAGCCCACGAAAGTGGCGACAGTTGCGCAGATCGCAGCCCGACGACACGAGAGGAGAGGAGAGGGGAACACAGGAAACAGGAGAGGAGGAGGGGAGGAGGGGGGAGGAGGAGAAGGACGGGGCGACCACACTGCTCTATTCAAAACGAGTACCCAATCATAGGAGGGTTGGGAATAACTCTGGGGACGATGTTTTCATGATTGAGCATGTTTTGCGTATTTTACTGTTCGTCCAAAATCCGCCTGTGGGAGGACATGCCCGGCATGATCCTACGCGGTTCCTCGTGCACCCAGGCGCTTCTACTGCCCCAGAGCGTTCTTCGGTCTTTATTCGGGGTTCGTTCTGGCAGAAGCTTGGATGTACTTCCTCATGTGTATTGCCATTGGTCCTCTCCCTCGGAACCGGGGCTGCGCGCGGAGGGGAGGGGCGCTTTGCCGCTTCAGCACCGCACAGATGCTTCCCGGAAGCTGCGCTCGCACGCACGTTCTCTTGAAGCTGCGTTCCCGCATGGGCGCTGCACATGTTTTGCCTCGCCAGGGGCAAGCCCCGAACATCACAGGAACGGCGCCGTTCCCAGCTGACCGCAGCATGTACTCATGTGGTGCACCGTGACGTTCAGCGAAAAAGTCCTAGCAGCGGAGCGGGCCCGTGCCGACCATGACAGCCGCGCTGTGCTGTTCTGCGCTGCCTCACCTACTATGCCCTCGTCCGTTGTTCGGGTTCCACGCGTTAGATTCGCTCATGCGTGATAAGGGGGCACGTCCGCCCATGGATGCGGACGCAGGCCAATCGCAGATCCCGAGTGCAGAGTATACTTAATAGGAATACCATATTCTGTGTACACAAGCATAGGGCTCGCTTCACACCTGGCTGGGTAACAGCGCGGCCACACTAGCACGCATCGGGACACAGGAAGGCCAACAGCCAAGGACCGCGGATACAGAGAGACCCACCAGAAAAAAAAAAAAAAAAAAAAAAAAAAAAAAAAAAAAAAAAAAAAAAAAAAAAAAAAAAAAAAAAAAAAAAACGCCAGGACGCACACACACATAGTTGTTTACGTCGCAGCGCGGCAGTGGCAGTCCGCATGCGGGCTCGGGCAAGCTGGGTGACGGCATTGCGAATTGCCCGGATGCATGAGTCGGTATTCGTTAACCGATCCCCATCCCCATCCCCACCCCCTTCGAGACCCCCACCAAATTACCGCCCCAGTTGGGGATGTACCCCTCGAAACCCGAAGGGAACGGCCTGTATCTCCATCCAGGGGGCTACATCTGCCAGTGGGGCCCAGGCCACGCCGCTGGGGATCGGGATCGGACAAACGGTACTCAAAGAGGGGACGGCGGAGGAAGAGAGGAACGGCCGCGGGAGGAGGGGAATGAGCTCGTGCGGTCACGCTGCGGGGGCCGCGGCGGGGCGCCCGGGGCGGCCGAGCTGGTGCTGCACCCGGGCAGAGCGGGCCCGGGGCGGCGTCCCGACACCCGGGGGCCAGGGCGGCGGCTGCAGTGCGGGAGGTCGACGACCAGCAGGCGGGAGGGGTGGGTGCGGGGGGGCTGCGGCAGCGGGGCCGAAGAGCGTCCGCAGCTGGGCAGGTGCAGAGGGACTGGGCTGGGCAGGCTGCAGGTCGGGCTGAGCCGAGGGCAGTGGCCGCAGTGTCGGAGCGGGGGGGGGGGAGATCCCCACGGAACGCCAGCGGGAGGCGGCGCTGCCCGCGGCGGGGGCGCAGCGCGCGTCCGCCAGGCAAGCCGGGGCGGCGAAACCGGGGCAGGGCGACGGTAACCCGCAGCCGGCCACAAGGGCGGGGGCAGGGCGACCGCAAGGCCCACACGCACACACACACACACACACACACACACACACACACACACGCACACGCACACGCACACGCACACGCACACGCACACGCACACGCACACGCACGATTTTTCGTCAGCGGCGAGGCGGCGAAGTCCGCCCCAGCGAACAGCTATAGGTAGGGGCGCCGACTGGCGAACTGGGCGGCGTGCAAGGAGGGAGGGGGGCGGCCGAGAGGAGGGGGCACGCTCAGACGCCGAGGAATTTCGACGATGAGGAGCCGGCGGGCAGCAGCGGCCAGGCGCGCAGGGCCAGGGCGCGGTGGGCGGCCGTGGCGAAACGCACACACACAAACAAATGACGAGTTCGGCACACAGAAAGTGCCAGTCGCGGGGGCGGGGGCTCAACGGGCGTGGAGGGTTGCAGCCTGCCGAGGCGGCAGGCTCCCTCGTGCCTGAGTCGCCTCCCCCCATCCCTCCGCATTCCTCCTCCTTCTCGCCTCCCTCCTCCCCCCTCCCTCCCTCCATCCCCCTTTTTCCTCCTCCCCTTGCCCTCTTTCTTCTCCTCCTCCTCCTCCTCCTCCTCCTCCTCCTCATCCCGTATTTGTTTTCTTGCTCCTGCTGTTTCTCCTCCTCCCCCTCGCTTCCTCCTGCTCCTCCCCTCATGCTCCTCCTCCCCCGTTGCCCCTCCAGTTCCTCATCCCCCTCCTGCCTGATCCATCCTCAGTCCCGCCTTCCTCATCCCTCCTGCTGTTCCTTCCCCTCCCTCCCCCCGCCCTCCATCCTCCTTACTACCTCCATCCTCCGGAAACACTTGCAAACCTCAGAGAACCTCCAGAGACCCTCCGAACTTGTCCGCAGTGAGCACGCGGAGTTCAATCATGACGTACTTCCCATCGACATCTGAAGGGCCACGGCCCCCCCGCTGCGCTCTCAATAGGACCGCGCTAGGGCCGCGCCCCGACGCGCACTGCAGCGTGTCGTCTCGTCGTCGTGCGAACTGGCCCGAGGGCATCCAGAAGGTGCTGGAAGCACTGCTACCTGTTGTTTACATTCAAGAGCGCTCCAATCCTGATCCTCCTTTGCTGCTCTCCCCCCTCCCCTTGACAATGCGTGATCCAGCGATCTCAGACTCTGTTCAGAATGTTGGGAGCATGTCAGCATGTCCGCCCGCCACGGCGCGATCTCTTTGCCTGCCCCCACCGAGGGCCGCACTGCGTGAGGGGATCCGTCTCCGCGTTCGTGTTAAGTCGGGCCTGTCCCTCCACAGGGGGAAGACTCAAAAATAGTCAAAACATCGTCTGGCGACGATTTTCTTGGTATTTCTTGATTGTGCTGAATTAGTACTGGACTGTTCTTGATTTTTCGTTCCATATCCGCCTGCAGGGCCTGTAGAGGAGGAGGAGGAGGAGGAGGAGGAGGAGGAGGAGGAGATGGAGGAGGAGGAGGAGGAGGAGGAGGAGGAGGGGAACATACCCGACCGAACCTTCGTGTCCCGCCTCCCTCCCGCCTTGCGTGGCCAGGAGACGGCAGGTTCCGCTCCCGCACGGCTCGCCATGAGCTCAGGCAGGGCGGCGTGCTTCGGCGCGCCGCAGCGCCGCCGGAGGTGCCTGTGCTTCCCGGAGGCGAGAGTCAAGCAGTGGCGAAGCGTCGTGGCTTGCCTATAGCCCTACCAAACAATGTTCTAAGAACCTTTCGTGGTTTCCACGAAATGTTCTTAGAACATTTCTGGCGGAAATGTTTTTAGAACATGTCTGGCGGAGTCTGTCTTGTTTTGTCACATCGGGTGTATAATCTAAGAACATCGTTTTTGTTTTTAGAACATCCGGGGGTTCTAAGGACATTTCGTGCTAGGACTATAGGAATGCCGGGACGGTCGGTCCCTGCTCAAAGAGGGCGCGCGGGGATGCGGGGGAGACAGTCCAGGCACCCTCAGAGGAGGAAAAGGTACCCATACCTATGCCCTTCGCCTGTTTTCCCCTTTTGGGGCCTCCTGGGCGGCCTCGTCGCCACCGTTGGATTCGCCTCGACATTCTGGTCAGAACGCACCCCAGGAGAGGTCCGGGGAGTAGCGGTATCCGTACCCGTTGGTTTCCCCACACCCTGCTGCTCGGTTCTGTTCGAGGCATGGCGTCCCAGGCCTATTGACAGTGGGTTGGCTTTTCATTCCGATTCGTTGTTTCATATCCCCCGGGCTAACGAAAACAGCCTCCCAGGGCTAAGGCCATCTAATTAGTCGCCAAGTGTCCGTGGATTGGGGGGTTCTTTGCAATGTTGTGGCGACGCAAGATGGTTTCAACATACCCCAAGGAAGGCGTCGATAGATTTAGGGGCCCATGTCCTGAAACAAATGAAGCGCCGGATGTCCGAGGAGGGGGAAAGAAGGATTCGGAGGGAAGTGGAAGGGAGTAGCGACGACGGTAAACACGCAGGTGAAAAGGAGGAGCAGGAGGAGTAGGAGGAGCAGGAAGAGGAGGAGAAGGAGGAGGAAGAGGAGGAGCAGCATCTGTTGCCGCTGAAGGAGTGCGGAAGACGAAGGAGAAACAGCAGCACGAGGATCAGGCGGAGCAGAAGCAGCAGCAGGAGGGAGGAACACCGCTCTTTATCCATCCTTTTGCCATGCTGCACTTCTGTCGCACGCTTTGATTATGTCGCACTTGGCTCTCATTGTCCTGTTTGCCTTGTGCGTGTTAAGACGCGACGGCTCACGCAAGCCAGCGCTTGTCCAACGCAAGCGAGGATCAGGATGAAGACGCAGACCCAGATCTCAGAGTTGGTTCAGTCCCCGGGCCCCAGAACTCTCGAACCCTTCCCTGAGGCTGGCTGTCCATCCCGAGCCTTTTTCGGTGGTCCTGTGATTTGGACTGGACAGACATCGCGTCGTCGGGGATCTGGGGACCGGGAGCAGTGAGAGTGTGGCGCCCGTGCCGTCCAGTGAACTGGGCGCGCATGGGCGCGGCCGAGTCCAGGGCCCTCCGGCCGGGGCCTGGGGTATTCCGTCTTGATGTGCCAAATGTGCCTCCTCTTCGGTATCCTTCCTGGCTCTGTCTTGAGAGGCTTTCAAGTGCTTGTAGTGCTTCGAGTCGTGTTCAATGGTTTCCGCTATTTGTCCTCAAGTATCCTGTGGTGTTGTTTTTTGTTTTGTCTCAGCAGTGCCCCGCGTCTTCTTCTCCTCCTCCGCCTCCTCATCCTCCTGCTCCTCCGCCTCTCATCTCCTCTCCCCTCCTCCCCCTCCTCCCTCCTCCCTCGCGCGTCCTCCTCGTCTTCGTCATCATCATCCTCATCATCTTCGTCCCTAGGAGGCAGAGGAGGAGGAGGAGGAGGAGGATCCCCGCGCTCGCTGGCTGGGCCTGACGGCAGAGCATACCCGGGGGCTAATGTTGGGTGCTTCTCCGAGGCCCGCGAGGTCGAGAGGGCGCGGGGGGGACGGGGGACGGGGGGGAGCAGCCTCGCCGCCAGACGATCTTCGGCTTGGACGTCGACGACGTGTTCGCGTACACGGCCGCGAAGAGCGTGAGGATACGAGACATGCGCCTGGGACTGCTCCACTACGCGCTGATGACGGGCATATTCGCGTACATTCGGAGGCCGAGCAGTTGGCAACGGCACCGCTCTCCCGAGCTCCCTCAACCGAGGGAAGATGATCATCGCTGTTTGTGCTTGGCGGCCATGCATCGGCTACCGAAGATGCGAGATGGTTGTCGTAATCACCGAAATCGGTGGCACTCTTCCTTCGATGGAGACGACCGCCGATCTTGGTGTTGGTGCCAACTTCTAGCCTCCGGCGCATCGTTGTTTACCAATTGATATACAATTGGGGGTATCTCAAGTTCTCAGATCCGAAAGCCGCAGTACGATTGACAATGCAGCAGCCTACGGCAGACGGGTGCAATCCGAATGACCCCCAATGCGATGACGCTTTTGTGGCGTTGGACCACTTGCCATATTGTTGCCAGCCCAACGCCAGCTGTAAAAGCAATGGTGATGGCAGTTGTAGTTGCGACTTCCGCCCTAATTTCAAAAACTATAACTGCACATACCTCGACGGAGCTGATGCACAAACAACGCGGGAGAGCTCGATCTTCGTCTCCACTTTCACGCACGTCTACTCCCAGAAGCGCAACCCAGACTGCTTCTCAAGCGTCTCCGCCGGCAAGAATGAGTGTGAGAAGTTGTGGCTTCCCCGCGACGGCCTGTCCCCTGCCGACACAATGGCGTTCACCGCGAACATCGAGGACTGCACGAAAGGGAGAGAGATACAGAGATCGAAGAAGACAAAGCGCCATAAACATAAACTGTTGGCGCTCCGCGCGGATTTCTTGGACCCCCCCCCCACCAGCGGCACCTCCGGCGCCGTCCCTGGCGCGCTCCGCGCGCCAGGGAGGGGGGCCCAGCGCGGATCCAAGACATCCGCGCGGAGCGCCAAAAGTTTATGCTTGTGGGGCTTTCTCTTCTTCTAAAAGAAAGAGAGAGAGAGAGAGAGAGAGAGAGAGAGAGAAGGAGGGAGGGAGAGAGAGTATGTTCGACCCGCATCACATGAGCAGCGGCGCGCCCGCGCCACCGTCCGCCACTCCTCGGTGCTATGAGCGCGGCCTGGGCACCAGGAGAGCTCGAAGCTAAAGATGGTTGCAGCAGGGATCGGAGAGAGAGAGTTACTTGGGCATGGATTTCCAATGGGTGGGAAGGAGAGAGAGAGAGAGAGAGAGAGATACCCTGATCAACACGCGCACGGGGGGGCTCACCAGGGCTCACGTGCTTCATCCAGTAGCACTCACCTCACCAACCAGCTCCCAAGATAGTAGACTGCCGACGAGGACACCTTCCTCACAGACTCGGTAATGAATCGGTGGTCACCATAACTGTATACAGAGATAGGAGCACCAGTCGTATCTAGAAAGTTCTGCAACTGCATCGCCTCCGCTGTATGTGACACCCTCAACGTCCACCAAGCATGAAGGACATCATAATATCTGTCACGGTCCAGCTTCGGAGGCCTTGAAATCTGTAGCCCAATGCTAGTCACCCCACCCATGATCACCACGAAGGTAACCACAGCACAAAGTACCCAAAATACTTCGAAGACCAGCAAAGTAACTCCCCAAAAGAAACCAGTACCTTCAGCACGCTCCTGGAGATCATGAAATCAAATGCCCTCGCCTTTGATGATCGATAGGAGGATGTCTGCTTTGCCCTGCGGCTCGTCTGGCACTTTGACACCAGCACTCTTGAACACCTTGTTCACATTCCCGACGATGTTCTTCTTCTTGATAGACTTCAGCACGGCCTTGTTCAGTACTTCTTTGCTGTCCGACGATTTGACCTTGAACTCATTGCCCAGGATCGACTGGAGCCAGCCACACTCCGACCTAGAAAGAAACTCGCTGGCCCCACCACGGCTCTGACGGCGCCGGCCACCGCCATCAGAACGACCACGAACGTCGTCACCTCCATCGCTGTCAGCTTCGTCACGTGGCGTGCCAACCGTGGGGGCAGAGTGCCCCGTGCTCTTCTGGACCGTCTGCAAGCCCTTGAGGTGCTCCGTGAAAGACGACTGGAGGGCGGCTGCAAGGGCTTGCCCCTGAGCGCGGAGGTCACGCTCCTTGGCCGCCTGCTCACGCTCCTTTACCATCTGTGCGTATTCTGGATCAGCTGCTGCAAGCTGGCGGCGAAGAGATTCCACACGAAACTCCTTGGCTTCGTCCTCGGTGGCAAAGGATTGCCACGCGGGAGGAGACCATGGCGACGAACTGCCACTCCATGGACTCGGATATGGGCTCGAATATGGGCCCACCTGCCAACCTTTGCCTTTGCCTTTCCCCTTGCTGAAGTCGCGCTCGAGAGGCGGGCGCTCATCCCACGAACTCGCGCGGCCAGGTAAGCGGCCTCGCCCCATGTCGGGAGGGTCCTGAAGTCGTTCCCACCGCAGAAAATGAAATCGAACCTGTTGAGCCGTAATAGACCACGGTAAGCGAAAGATAAAGGCACGAAGAAGAGGAAGGGGATATCCCATGAGAAACATGTCCAGCACTGCCTCCAGAATCCACACTGCGGCGAGCGACGGGGAGAGACGCATCATGCGAGAGCGAGCCAGGCGACCAGCCAGGACCTCGTATAGCATCCCAAAGGCCCTCGGAAGAACATCAGGCTACGGAATGATGGTACTCGGTTCGCGCTGTTTGGAAACATCAAAAAGCCATTCACGGTTCTTGGGCGCCCATATGAAAGTATCACCAGAACTCTGAATACGAAGATCTAGCCATGTAACCTCTGAACACTCCAAGGATGGGTCCGAAGCTAGGGATAATAATACATAATATGTAGTACGTGTAAACAACGCTGCACGCGAATGGCAATAGGATGGACTCAGCGTAATAACGTCATCGACGAAGCGAAGTCACCCAATATCGAACTTACCATAAAGCATTATCTGGAAACCCAAACGTGTGAAGCGGTCTGGATCCAAGCCCGACTGGAACTCCTGAGCCCCCAAGAGCGTATTAAGGCCCACACCCGAGAGCACGCCGCCGAAGGGAAGCCCTTGGAGCTCAAACAGAAGGCCCACCACGGATACCAGACTTGCCCAACAGAAGGCCAGCAGCCCCTTCCCCACATCAGATGCTTCGATACGGAACCAACCTCTCGGGCAGGACGAAGATGATGCGGGCAGGGTGCGAGCCTTCTTTGCACGTTTGACGAGGACAGCTGCAGAAGGAACTGTTTTGGCAAACTCCTCTGCCACGACGGCCCACGCTTCACCCACACTGGATGCTGTGCACTGTTCGTAGGCTTGATCCGCGTCATGGGCAAGACTTGTAAACCCATTTCATGGGGCTGCCACACCGTAAACATGAGCAACGAACTTCTGGGCTCAAACAGCCTCGAAGTTGAACGAGACGATCAGCAGCTTCGCCAATTTCAAACACTTCATGGCCGATACCCGAGTGTGAAATCATATTCCTCGCAGCTCGGCCCAGGATACGGTAGCCGTAAGTCCCAGGTGCATTTGACGCATCAACCACGCGCCTCATGCAGGAGTGGTTAGGCTTGACACAGCACTTCACACCATTGGGTAAAAAAAACACTTCGACTTCACGAGCGGGAAAACCACTGGCACGTTGGTACTGACAGTAATCTTCTGCATCTGGCGTCTTGAACGTAACCAATGAGGTAGACCCAACTCCGCGCGCGCCCACAGCCATGAGGCCAGACTGGAATCAGTCATATCACCTCTGTAGCGCCACGTCGGGTCCGCCTGCACTGCCTGGAGCAGGCACCGAGCAGTATCAGGTCCATCAGCCTGCCAAACCACATCATGATCTTTGTCACCCGAAATCAGAATGGAAGAACCAGGAATATCCGTAGAGAGATGGAGTATGTGCTCAAAGGAAGCCCACTCTGCGGGAGGGGGGCGCACACGACTTTGGAGCCGAGTTGCGCAATCCTCCAGCGACGATAGTCCGCGTCATGCGAGACGCCCACGAGCACAGCTCCTTACGGCATGCGGCATACGTCGTGAACGGGGACGGCCAGCGTGGAAGTAGCCACACCCCTGAAGCAGCACCAAGGAGGCGAGGGGGAACAGGGGAGGCTTCAGGAACATGTGGAAGGTGATTGGCCTCGAATGTGTGGAAGAAACGAGGGGCTGTCACACGATCTTTCCAAACAGGAGTCTTCTCAAAACCATACTTCAGGCGAGGGAGAAGCCAACGCTGGGTATTCAGGACTTTGACGCCGCTGATGCAACGGCGAACACACGATTTAAAGAGCTCAAGCTTGCGATGGTCACGTAGAGCGGACGGTGCACGAATCTGGCGAACACGTAGACTTGGAAGCCGAAGTTGGGATAGCCATCTATCTAATCCCAAAGAAGCTGAATACACACGGTGGTAGTTGCGCAACAACTCTGGGGCCAGGTTCGCAGCCCGATAGACCATGTCAGCCAGCCAGGCGAGTCGTTGGCCACGGAGGAAGACGTACATGGGGACGATTACATGCTAGCCAAGCTAGTAATAGACCAACTCGATCATAAGCAAACAAATAGATAGGGCCACACGTGCCTTCCGAGGCGAGCATCTCCCTCTGGTGGCGGATATAGAGAGCACTATATGGACCTTCTTCGGATATAATGCTTGGAAGCCTATCTTGTAAAAGAGCTTTATCACGCTGCCGTGGGTCACACGGGAAACATGATGACCAAATCGAGGGTAAACAATGAGCAGGACGACGCAAGCGTCGCCATGAGGGAGGGCGACGACGCGGGCGTTTTTTCTTATGCCCGAAGAGTAGCGCCTGTCGATGATCCCGAGGACGTCCAAACAACAGGGAGGAAGAATAGTGAGCCCAGACTTCGTCTGAGCATACGATGCCTTGGACGGTCACCTGGTGGCTTGCATGGGTACAGAAGACAGCGTACGTGCTCGGCCACCCTGGCGCAGACGCCAGGAAGGCCTTTCCTGGAAAGAGTAGTCTTCCCACAGTAAATCGCCGAGAAGGAAGCCAAGATGTAGACAACCGCGTCATACACACCAATTGGCCCCAACACTGATGCCCTTGCCATGCGGAACACAAGATGATCGTGAGGAACAGATACAGCATGTTGCCACTGGGTCGGAAGAAAGGGTAAGACATGACGAATACACTTGCACCCAGATTGGTGTTGCAATGCCCATCTGAATCTCAGGACACCCGACACCATGAGGAAGCTCGAGAGGACGGTGTAGAGTGCCGATCCACGGAGTTTACATTCAGATACACCTTTGTAACCAATATTCGATGTGCAGATAGCCAAAGCAAACAAAATGGCCGCAATAGAAGAAGACGAAGGCGGCTGTGTAGCAAGGGACCATGACCAGTCAACTAGCTGGCGCACTGTGTTCCCATCGTATGAGGAGCAGCCTAGTAGGCGCCGAACGTACGAAGCAGTAGTCCGAGAAATCGAGGATGGCAAGGGCCACGGTGTCCGAGTCGAATAGACACAGTCAATCTCAATCTGAGGAAGCATGAGGACGCACACGAAGAGAATGAGGTACACCTGCTGGATATGGAATAGACCTTGGGGCTGGACGTCCCCCGCGAGGAAGGACGACAACAAGAACCCAGCACTCCCGTAGCCACGTCGTTGGCCGGATTAGAACTGGTCAGAGAGAGTATGTTCTACCCGCATCTCGTGAGCAGCGGCGCGCCCGCGCCACCGTCCGCCACTCCTCGGTGCTATGAGCGCGGCCTGGGCACCAGGAGAGCTCGAAGCTAAAGATGGTTGCAGCAGGGATCGGAGAGAGAGAGAGAGAGAGAGTTACTTGGGCATGGATTTCAATGGGTGGGAAGGAGAGAGAGAGGGAGAGAGAGAGAGAGAGAGAGAGGGAGAAGGAGAGGAGAGAGGGAGAGGAGAGGAGAGGAGAGAGAGGGAGCGAGAGAGAGAGAGAGAGATGGAGAGGAGAGAGGGAGGGAGGGAGAGGGAGGGAGAGAGAGAGAGAGGGAGAGAGGGAGGGAGAGAGAGAGAGAGGATCAGGAGGAGGGAGGTCCTTAACCGTCTTGGCTCGAGCCGCGAGCGCCCGGACAGTTTCGCAAATCGCGGCCCCCCTCAGGGGTGGCGAGGTCTATTTTGGATCTGCGGCGGCTACCCACTATGCTGGTCCTCCCAAGCAGCCCTCGAAAGCGGCGACAGTTTTGCAAATCGCAGCCCCCCCAGGGGTGACGAGGTCTACTTTGGATCTGCGGCGGCTGCCCACTATGCTGTCCCCCCAAGTAGCCCTCGAAAGTAGCGACAGTTTCGCAGACCGCAGCCCCCCAGGCAAGATGCACACACACACACACACACTAGAGGCACCGCAGGCAAGATGCACACACACACACACACAAGAGGTACGCACAAGGCGGGAGGCGGGAGGCGGGAGGCGGGAGGAGGAGGAGGAGGAGGAGGAGGAGAAGACGCGACCGCACTGCTCCATTCCAAACGAGTGCCCAACCAAGGAGGGTAGGGGAAAAAGTTGTCGTCCGTCGTGCCGCCGCCTCCTCGTCGCACCCCCCGCCGCGCCCCTCTCGCAGGACCACGCTGTGGGAATCCCCCCCCCGTGGGGCCTCGGGGCCGCCCCTCGCCTCGGTGGCCCCCTCCCGCCGGCGACCCCCTTCCTGGGGCAGCCGGCCCGCTGCGCCCGCCGCGCGCGCGCCGCTCGGACTCTCCAGAGCCGTCGCCTTCCGCGCCCCTCTGCCCTCGAGGAGGAGGAGGAGGACGACGACGACGAGGAGGAGATGGAGGAGGAGGAGGAGGAGGAGGAGGAGGAGGAGGACGAGGAGGAGATGGAGGAGAAGGAGGAGGAGGAGGAGGAGGAGGAGATGGAGGAGGAGGAGGAGGAGGAGGAGGAGGACCCGCCCTTCTCCGTCGTGCGTGGCTCTGGTGAGTGGCCCTGCGCCGCGCCCACCGCGCTTCCCCGTCGTGCTCCTGTGCTCGTGCATGGGGGGGCTACACGGCCCCACGCGCCCTGCCCAACGGGCACAGGCACAGGCGCTTCGCCGCACGAGCTTGCACCAGCGCCTCGCTCGTTCGCTCGCTCCTGCGCTTGTGCTGCGGGCCCTCGGTTCGACTCCCTTCTCGGCCCCCGTCTTGACCTCGCGGCGTCGCCCCCGCCCGCCGCAGGACCCGCCCCTCCCCCCCGTTTCATGCTTCGGCTGCGCGCGCAAGGGGGTGGTGCGAAGGGGGGTGGCCTTCTAAGACGGCGGGGGGGTCCTTAAAAGGCAGGGGCCTTCTTAGAAGCGCCTGCATGCTTCTTAGGGGGGCCTACGCCCTAAACGCCGGGGGAATTCCAAAAGGCCCTTTGCCTTCTTGGAACCTCCCCCGCCTCGCGATACCCCCTTGTGCGCGCCGCCAGCTTCCGCCTCCGCATTTGTCGCTGCGCATCCGTCGTGTGCGCCGTGTTCGTCGTTCGCTTCTTCTCCTTCCCTTGCACCACTACTTACTACCTCGCTTGTTTTAAGGGGTTGCCCTGGGTAACCTTCTGGGGCGACCAGCGCTCCAGCCTCGGCGAGACAGACAAGCAGACAGCGTCAGCGTCGTCTCGAGAAGGAGGAGGAGGAGGAGGACGAGGAAAAAGAGGAGGAGAAAGAGTAGAGGGGGGGAGGAGGAGGAGGAGGAGGAGGAGGAGGAGGAGGAGGAGGAGGAGGAGGAGGAGGAGAAGGAACGGATGCTGCGTTCACTGCCAGCGTCGAGGACTACACGATTCTCATCGACCATTCCGTGACGGGTTCGAATGACCACGCGTACACCTCGAGGCAGATGGAGGGTCGGCTGGCCATTACAGGCATCAGTGTTGCCAATACCGCAGGGATCGTGAGTTTTGCCTCGATATCCTCCTCCGCCCAATGCTCCTCTCCCCCCTTCACCGATGTGTGTAGGCTCCCAGGTCCGAAGCATGAATGTTGGTCTAACTAATTTGCCCCGTATGAGCTCGTGGGGTGCGACTGCTTGTGGCCACCGTCGGCTTCCAAGAGATGTTTCTTGCACGGCTGCTTCGCCTATTTTGTGCCCCCCTCCCTTTTTCCCCCCCGTCTTCCTCATCCCACCCTGTGCACAGCCTTACCCCTGAGAATCAAGTAAAGCAATTCAAATACAAGCCTTCACCCGCCCCGCTCCTCCCCCCTCCCACTCGACACACACCCCTCCGCGGGGTAGCGACTTACAATCCCTGCGGTCTTGGCCTCCTGGAAGGGATTGGCCCAGCCCAGGACCGGGCGAGAAACATCGCCCGCCGTTGCTGCGTTCGTTGCTCGTCTCTTTTCGGGGCGGGTTTGTGATGCTGTTTTTTTCCCCCGCAAGAGCATGGCGTTGGTTCTTGATGAGTCGGACGAGGAAGACGAGCAGGAGGAGGCATGTATGGAGGAGAGGGGAAAGGGATGAGGAAAATGAGGGGAGGAGAAGACGAGGACCCAAGTAAATCCAAGATGCGTCCACGGTGCTGGAATGCACAACGTTCCGCCCCGAGGCCCCTCCTCAGAAGACCCTCGAAGAGTATTTCGTGTCCACTGCGAGAAGCGCCCCCCCCTTGAAACAGGGGCGCCCGACAGGACTGCCGCTCCGGCGACACCTGTGCTGTGAAGGGCCCACCCCTCCGCCACCCATCTGGCTCGGGGAAGCGCCAAGAGGCAGCACCATGTTGTACAAGCAGTTGCCCTCCATCCGTGCAAGCCTTGCACAGCTTCGAAGTTTATGGACATACGCTTCGCGAGTGTCTTAGGCGATCACCCAGCTCTGGAAATGAGCTGCCCTCCATCCTTTTTAACAGCTGCGCTAAGTGGAACTTCGCGCCGTAAAGTTGGTTCAAGTCTCAGACGGGAGCCGCTTTCTGACAACGAACCTGATTCCATCCTTGTAGTTGTTATTATTGTTATCACGTGCGCGGCATTAGACGAGAACCACATGTTGAAAACCACCAGCCTTTCATCCTCCTTACGGCTTACACTATTCCCAACCATCTTGTGGTGTTGTGTCCTCGTTTTTTCTCCGCAGCGCTGCTCTCCACTCCTCCTTCCGCTGCCCCCTCCTCCCTCCTCCAATCCCTGCCTCTGCACTTCGCATGTTCATTTCGGCACACCCCTCACGAGGATCGTAGCCCCATAGGGTGCACCACCGAAGGCCCTAGCGACAGGGTCCGCATGCGTCCCCCCGCCCTTCCCAGCACACCCCTCACGAGGATCGTAGCCGCAAAGGGAGCACCACTGAGCTCTACCGAAGGCCCCTGTGGCAGGGTCCGCACGCGTCCCCCCACCAATTCTGGCACACCTCTCTCCAGGGTCGTGGCACCATAGGGAGCTCCACCGAAGGCCCCAGCGACAGGGTCCGCATGCGTCCCCCCGCCCTTGCCAGCACACCCCTCACGAGGATCTTGCCCCCAATGGGAGCCCCGCCGAAGGCCCCAAAGGCAGGGTTCGCACGGCGCCCTCTTCGCCAGGACATGCGCCCCGGCCGTCCCTCAGTCAGTTTCCAGTATTCTTCTCGCTTGCCTTGCGGCGCTCGCAGATGCAGATGGTTGGGCCCTTCGCCCGGATATTTGAAAAAGAATGTGCGCGGCGCTGAGGCGATGATTGCATTTGAAAATCACCGGCACTTGATCCCTGCAGCACCTGGAAAGAACGAGAAGGAATGTACACGGCGTTACGGCTAGAATCACAACTTGAAATCGACCAGCCCTCACTCATTGTAGTTGAGTCTTCCTGATCCTTTTTCTGAGTTCGTCGCCGCTCTCAGAGACAGGGCCTCGCTTTTGCGCTCCAGGACTCGTAAAAGACTACCCGCGGCGAAAACTCGATCCAGGGATGGGTTCGAGATCTCGGGGGCTCGCTTTCATACTCCCCCACGTCGTCCTTTTCCTCCCCCAGGAAACGGTGATGCATGCACAGTATCCCTTTCCGCCAGGATCTCCTGTGCAAGAGCTACCCGAACGCTACCGCTGCAGGTTCGAGCTGGACGGGCATCCTGTTCGACACTGGTGGCTCGAGATCTCAATAGATGAGGAGGAGGAGGAGGATGAGGAGGAAGATGAGGAGGGGGGAGGATAAGCAGGAGGAGGACGGTCCGCTGATTCTATATCACCCTTCTCCTTTCCATTACCTCCCATTCTGGCACTTCGCCGGTCGATGGCCGCCAAATCCGGCGTCTTTTCCCCTTCCAACCACGAGCAACAACCAGAGTTCATGCGCTTCTGCTCAGCATTGACGTTGTGTCGCCGACGTTGCTCCATGCGCGGCGGGACTGGGACGGGGCGGACATCGAGTGCGACGGGGCGAGATGCCGCTCTCACCTCTCGGCGTCGCCCAGCACGTCGTTCTCTTGCCGAGGCGCCGCGCAGATGTCTCCTGAGAGCGGCGCTGCCGTTCGAGCGCGGCGCATCGCTTTGCTCGCCGTGCCGCTGGGAAGCCGCAGCGGGGTCGCGCGCGAGCGGGCGAAGTGCTGTTCTTGCCCAGGCGCCGCGCAGGTTTCGCGTTGAAGTGTCAGTGATGCTTCGGCGCAGCGCGTTTTGTTTTGTTGTTGTTTCTCTTCATCGCCGTTCTCGTGGAACATTTGGACGCGCGAAAGAAGGCTACATTACTCGATCGCTGGAGCTCGGCACAGGGATCTTTCGGAAGTCACAATGCCACACGTGCGCTGCCCGTGGCTCTCTCCCCCTGGCCAAGTCCTCGGAAGCAGGACCGCGCGCGAGATGCTCTAAGAAGGGTGGCGGAAATGGCGGGTCCCACCTGTTCGGTCGACCTGGCCGATTTGACTCCTACTATTCCTGCCCCTCCCTCCCTCCCTCTTCACTATCGTTCCCCCACCCCCTGCAAAGAGGAACCAGATTGGTCGAGGCAGGGCCCTCGGGGCCCAGGGTATGGTTCAAAGGCAGTCTTGCTTCCTGGGCTCAGCAGGAGGAAGAGGAGGCGAAGGAGCAGGACCAGTGTACACCCAAAACGCACTGACGATATTACAATAAACCCTCCCAAGCTCCCTATTTCACAGGTCCCGGCAAGATTTGCTTCATTGCGCGAAGTGCCCCGTTGGAAGACAACCGTCTGATAATCCTCAACCGTGCCAGAACACATTCTTGTGCCTACAACGCCGCGAGCCAAAGGTATGGATGCGCCCTGACAAGCCTAAATCGTGCCAGAACCCCATCCCTGGGACTTCAACACAACGAGTCAATTGACTGTTGCGTCCTGACAGCTTATAACCGTGCCATAACATCATTCCTGGGACTTCAACCATACGAAGCCATGACATGGCTGCAAACTGCTCAGGCGCATGGGCGCAGCGCTGAAGCGATAGCCACATTTTGAAAACGGTCCGCCCTCAATCCTTGAAGCTGCTGCAATGTGTTAAGCCGAGTGCGCGCGGCCCTAATGCGAGAGCCACGTTTTGACAACGCCCCGCCTTCAATATTTGAAGGCGCTGCAAAGTTCAATACTCAGGACCAAAACTGGTGAGAAGCTCTCAGGCGAAACGCGCGGCCCGCCCTACCTACACGCCTAGGGGGCGAGAGGAAGCGGCTATGTACAAGGAGAAAGGATGGAAGGAAGGGATGAAGGAGGGGTAGGAGGAGGAGGAGGAGGAGGAGGAGGAGTAGGAGGAGGAGGGCGTCGTCCCTCCTCCCTCCTCCCCAGATCCTCCAGGCTGAAGCGAGGAGGGGGAGAGGGGGAGGAGGGTGGACGCAGCACCGCGACCCAAGAGGGAGGTGCACGTGGGGGAGCAGGCGCAGCCCTCGCGCCGCTCGCTCGGGGGAGCCCCGCCGGACCACGGCCGCGGGGCAGGACGGCCGCCCTCCGTGCCCATGAGGAGGAGGAGGAGGAGGAGGAGGAGGAGGAGGAGGAGGAGGAGGAGGAGGAGGAGTAGGAACAGGAGTAGGAGGAGCAGGAAGGAGGAACAGGAGGAGGAGGAGGAGGCGCGTGCTTCCAACACGGCCAAGCTGGCCTGAAGGGAGCCCAAGCGATGGTCCAGGGTGGACCCAGGAGAGGCCCAGCGCGGCCTCGAGAGGGGCCAGGAGAGGCCCGAGAGGTGCCCCAGGAGAGGCCCGAGAGGGCGTCGCCCGCCTGCCGCAGCTCCGATGCCATTCTTGTTCCTCCGGCCGGCCCGCTCCGATCCGCTTTCCCTACGCTCCGATGGGTCCCGATGCTCGCGTGGCGCCGCTGTGCATCCTAGCGTGGCCGCTCCTATTCGACTGCGACTCCGTGCCAGTGCGGCCCGCTGCGACGCACGTACCGATTCGGTCCGACTTCCCGAGCCGATGCCGACTGAACCTGCCCTCCAAAGACCCCCTCTGCGTCGTGAACAACAGCACGACGGGAGGTGAATGGCCCTGGGCACGGGTCGTCGAAGAACGGCTCGGAACTGCAAGGCCGGTCCGGAGCAGCCCCAGCAGGAGGGGCAGCTAGCGCGCCATCTGGCCGCCCGCGCGAGGATCTGTGTGGTACCTACGAGTCGTTGAAAGCAGGGTTTTTCTGGATGCTTAGTTTCCTATGTACTTTAGGCGCCTAGGCCAATCTACTTCCAACGATATCCTACTGCATGCTTCTACCAATTGTTCCCATATCCAGAAGATGGGGGTCTTGTTATCCCCCATATCCAAAGGATAGGGTTCTTGTTATTCCCCATATCCTAAGTATGGGGTTCTTGTTATTCCCCATATCCAAAGAGATGGGGTCCTTGTTCCCCATATCCTAAGAATGGGGTTCTTGTGATTGGCAGACCGCGCCGGAGGAACACAGGAGAACAGGAACACCCTCACCTCCTCTCACTCAGACCCACTCAGACTCACTCATCACGCAGACTCACTCATCACTCAGACTCACTCATCACTCAGACTCACTCATCACTCAGACCCACTCATCACTCAGACTCACTCATCACTCAGACTCACTCGTACTTGTACTCATAAATTCACTACACTCACTCAGGTCCACTCATCGGATGACTCACACACACACACACACACACACACACGCACATACTGATGTTGAAGATGTCTCAGGCGATTCGCTCGTCTCAGCACTCTAAGGGGAGCGGCGGGGGGGTATTGCACGGGTCCCGTTCGCGGAATTTTGTGGGGATGTCTCGAGCGGTTTGCCTGTTTTCTGTCCCAACATCCTTCGCTTTCGGATCAGATTTGGAGGATGTCTCGAGCGAGGCGCTCATTTTCACGTTCCTGAGGGGTGCACTCGGCCCCTTTCGCTCGATTTTGTGGGGATGTCTCGAGCGGTTTGCCTGTTTTCTGTCCCAACATCCTTCGCTTTCGGAGCAGATTTGGAGGATGTCTCGAGCGAGGCGCTCATTTTCACGTTCCTAAGGGGAGCGGCAGGGGGGTATTGCACTCGGCCCTGTTCGCGGGATTTTGTGGGGATTTCCCGAGCGGTTTGCTTGTTTTCTATGCCAACATCCTTCGTTTTCGGAGCAGATTTGGAGGATGTCTCGAGCGAGGCGTTCATTTTCACCCCCCAGGTGGGCCAGATTTTGAGGATGTCTCGATCGGTTTGCTACAGGAGGCCACAGGATGTTCCATGAGGCTCCAGGAGGCCCCAAGAAGCTCCAGAAGGCCTCAGGAAACCACAGGAGGCCCCAGGAGGCAACAGGAAGCGCCAGGAGGCCTCGGAAGGCAACAGGAGGCCCCGAGAGGCCCCAGGAGCAGGAGGCCTCAGAAGGCAACAGGAGTGGCTCCAATCCCATGTGTTTTACGTACGCTCCTATCGATTGGGCCTCACCTGGAGCACGATTATTTGATGTTATACGTATGTTTGTATAGATTGTCCTTCTCCTGTGTACACAATCCTACATGTGTTACTTATGTTCCTATATATTGGGCCTCTCCTGGGGCACGAGTCCTTGGTGTTTTACGCGTGTTCCTACATATTGCCCTTTTCCTGTGGCTCTAATCCGCAATGGTTTATGTACGTATGTTGCTCTCTCTCTCTCTCTCTCTCTCTCTCTCTCTCTCTATATATATATATATATATATATATATATTGCGCCTCTCCTGGGGCACGAAACCTCCATAGGAGGTCCCAGGAGGCCTCAAGAGGCTCCTGGAGACCCCAGGAAGCCCCAGTAGGTTCCAGGAGGCCCCAGGAGGCCCCAGGCTCATGCACAAAGACGCGCTCGTACTACTGAGGCTCATTCACACTCAAATTCATTCGCAGTTGGATTTATGTCCAGGCCGTCACAACTGAAGCCCGTGTATATTCGAAAGCTCTTGCGCCTAGACTTTCGCGGCGGACAGGTCCATGCGAATAGATGCGCTTATGGGGAGCTCCACGCAGTGAATAATTATTGGCAGACCGCGCCGCAGAAACACAGGAACACCCTCACCTCCTCTGGCTCACTCATCACTCAGACTCACTCATCACTCGGGCTCAGTCATGACTCAGACCCATCACTCATCACTCAGACTGATTCATCACGTGGACTCACTCATCACCCAGACTCACTCATCATTCTGACTCACTCGTACTTGTACTCATACATTCACTACACTCACTCAGGTCCACTCATCGGATGACTCTCTCACACACACACACACACACACACACACTGATGTTGAGGATGTCTCAGGCGATTCGCTCGTCTCAGCACTCTAAGGGGAGCGGCGGGGGGTATCTCACGGGGTCCCGTTCGCGGAATTTTGTGGGGATGTCTCGAGCGGTTTGCCTGTTTTCTGTCCCAGCATCTTTCGCTTTCGGAGCAGATTTGGAGGATGCCTCGAGCGAGGCGCTCATTTTCACGTTCCTAAGGGGAGCGGCGGGTGGTATTGCACTCGGCCCTTTTCGCTGGATTGTGTGGGGATGTCTCGAGCGGTTTGCTTGTGTTCTGCCCCAACATCCTTCGCTTTCGGAGCAGATTTGGAGGATGTCTCGAGCGAGGCGCTCATTCTCACGTTCCTAAGGGGAGCTGCGGGGGGTATTGCACTCTGCCCCTTTCGCTGGATTGTGTGGAGATGTCTCGAGCGGCTTGCATGTTTTCTATGCC